TAACAAGCATTCAGAAAGGTCAGAAAGAGAGAAGAAATTGTGTACGAATTACAACAGCTTGTTTTCCTAAATGTTACAATTGTGCGAGTAATTCTGTTATAACCGTTAATAACTCTTAATATAACGTGAATGAGCAACCAAAGAAAACTTCAACGATCATTCTCTCGAAAACGGTAGGCTTCATTAGCAGATAACTCGGCCTTCAACAATGGCACTGGAGAACAAACATATCGGTTGATCTGATCGCTCATCGTATCCTTTCGACTTCTTATCTACAGAAATAAATCTCCTGCCACCAAGGATGATCCCTTGGAAAGGAACACAAACACGGCGATTGATCAGAGCACGTATCGGACCGAATAACAAAGAGGAGGTACGAAAGGGCCACTACTGAGGAAAAAAGCAAAAAACAAAACATAGAGAACTCTGAATTTGAAGGCAGTGATCACGAAAGCTGGAGAGCGATTTCGATTGTGTCAGTGAACTTTATTGGTGGAAGGGCGTTAGGCGGCAGTACAATCCACACTACCCAGCACTGACAATAAGGGGTTTAGTTCACAAATGATTCAGTAACGTCACCAAAACCGCACCATCCACTGGCCGTTGTGACTACTCTGGGCTGCTTTATTAGCGATATTAGCGATCGTTGAAAGTAACGGATGTAGCGCTGTGAGGCCAGAGAGTACACCCGAAAGAGAGAGAGAAATCTAACAATCCAACGAGAGAGCACTGACACCGTGTGTGCTGCGTGAGTAGAAACGGCAACCAGGCAATGAAGGCTCCATGCGACTTCGTTGTAGCAGTAAGGAGTCGCTAACCACAGAGACCACGACTATCGTCTCTAAAGCGAATTCTGCTCCTTCCCCTACAAGAGGATATTGTTCACGTGGAAGTCAATAGCTACTGATTCCCAACGTATTTAAATATAAAAAGCCAGAGCTCTTGATAGGACAGGCGCTTGGTTATCATCAGGAGCATTTTTTTGACATGTAGGGGTTTTATAAAGGAGGTCCCAAAGAAGGGAACACCTACCAGTAGAGGGAAGGAACTCCAAAGAGTGCGAAGCGACACGCGAAGGACATGCCCCGTCCAGCTGGCATAGCGTGTAATCCCCGCGCCGCTATCGCCGCTGCCCGAACATGCAACCCCTCGCTCACTTAAAGGCACGCTCCCGCGATCAGGCGGGCTCGTCGTCCATACAGGGGTACGGTAGGCAGGTGGAACAAGTGTTGATGTCGGGCCCCTTTTGCGCTTGGAAGTACGCGACAAAGGCGCAAGGAGCTCGTCCAACCCGCAACTCACACCTTCGTCCGCAAGCCCCACCCTTCGCTGTCGGTTGCCACGTGGCGCTGCTTGAAAAGCGCGGGCGCATTTGAGGCAGTGGTCCCAGCGCGATCCAATGTTATTGACACTGGAGCAAGTAGAGTTAGGTTCGTGAAACTCGTCCAATTCGCCTCTTCTCTATCCCAAGGTGGAATGTGGCTGAAATAGGGGAGGTCTCTGTACGGGGCGTAATCGGTGGTTTCGTTTGCTTTCCTTCTCTTTTACAGACCACCTCCCACCTATAGCTTCATAACTGAACGCTTTTCCACACCTATTTTATCCCGAATCTTGCCTTTAAGAAGAATCTCGGGCCACGCGTGGAAAAAAAGAATTGTCAAAAACACCGCGAATACAAGCCTATTCGCTCTGTGCTGTGGGGCATACAGTGAGGTAATGGATAGCGGAAGCCATGGAGAGAGAAAAAGATTACGAGTCGAAGATCAGAGCAGATCAGCAACCCGACATAGACAAGGTACCGCACCGGTAAAAGTGCTGATCTATAGGACCTGCGAGTGTAATGGATCCGAGCCAACCTTAGAGCCGTGTCAGTGGCGCATTTCCAGGTGCGGTGGTAATGCGACTTTTTGCAGTTGCCAACCCCGCACCCATGGAAGTGACGTTGAGTAAAGCTGATCGCGAATGGAAACCTTCGAATATCTGCGGAGTACATTTGGAAATCCTTCCATTCTGCAGGACCTCTGATAAATACCACAAAATGCCGGACAAAAATTTCCCCAAAATGACGTCATGACCTTGCCTAAGTCTTATCGAGATTCCGCATCAATTTTGAGCAATCTACCAAGTCTTCAACAGAACCTGACGACGTCGACGAGGCAGCGTTCAGAGTTGGCGATCGTATACGCGAATGGGCGATTGGGCAATGATTCTAAAAGAAATTACAAGTATTGATTAGGGGAATAATTAAGCGAACAGGCGATATGGCGAGTAGGCGACAAGACAAGATACTAACGTGTCGATCTGTTTGGTTAGCCAATTGAGCGATCGCCTAATCGCTTAAGGCGATGACTTGTTGATCCCTTTCCTTGTATACGAATCGCCTATGCGCCGCCTAATTGCATTTGCTACCGCTAACTCTGGGCGCTTCCCTAGTTTTTAATGGGAATACATGAATTTGAAAAGGAATAATAAAAAGAAATAGACACTACGTGATGTCTATAGACAGCCACTGAGTAGAAAAATCAGCCAAGATTGCTGTCGACTTTCCTTTACCCATTCCGCGAGACCTTCAGAACGCCTACGTATCCAATACATAGCTGTATGTGGATTGCTGACTCCAATTTCCTCATCATTCTATTATCGCCTTGAAAACCAGCTGCTGGCTTTTACATGTACCTTATGTGAATTAAATTGAAATAGGTAATGAAACAAAAGCATTTATCCCAAGAAATGTGACAGCTGGTCAGGCCCTCTGGTGCTTTAGAAAGGAACTAATGTGAATTGAGGAGGAGAATCAAAGCAGCAACCACAGCCCGAAGTCGCACATGCGATTACCCGATTAGGCGATTGGGCGAGTAGGCGAGTAAGATGACGTACGTGGCGCTTTGGTTCGCTCCGCCCACTGAGCAATTGTTTGATGCCTAATCGCACAATCGTCTGCATCGTGAACTCTAGAAAGTGCCTAACTCAAGGCTGACAAGAACATCAGTTTCACACCTGTTTTGGGCAATGATATACTCAGGGGGAGGCATCGCTAATCGCAAGCCAACACACACACACCAACATCTTTCTCCTCCTAGTTCTTCCCTAGGACTCAGCCTCAAGGGCATTGGGGAAGGAAGTGGACAAGCAATTTTCATAGTCTCCTAAGCTCGCCTTCTCCTCCTGAACTTGGACCGCACAGCAACGTTCCCCTCCTCCCTTCAAGACAAACTTCGGGATGAAGTAAGTGTGTAAAAGCGTTCAATACTGAATCTAGAGGTGGAGTGTGTTCAGTAGAAGAAAAATAAAGCAAAATAAACCCTCGATCAAGCCCTAAGTGAGGTCCTCTTCTATTTCGGCTGCAATCCGCTTCAGGATAGAGAAGGGGCGTGTTGACGAGTTTTACCAACCTAGCTCCAGTTGCTCCAATGTCAATGACATTGAATTGCAGTCCAACCGCTGCCGCAAATGCGCCTCGTATAACTTTCCTCCGCAGCGAACGTGGAAAGCCCAAATCGGAGAGCGGGGCTTGCTACGAAGGTGTGGAATGCGGGTCGAGTGGGCTTCTGCCGCCTTTGTCGCGCACTTTCGAGCCGCAAGGGAGGCGTGAC